CCCGGTGCTGCCTGCCGAGAAGGAAGAGCTCCAGGTCCTGGCTGCCCCAGCTCTCGATGCTTCTGGCGGCATGGCTTCCCCGCTGAAGTTAGAACAGGACGTCCAGGGCAAAGTCGATTCTTTTCGGGCCCGCATTGCCCAGGAGGCCGAGGATCTGGTGTCCACCTTCTTCCCTCAGAAGCTGTCAGAGCTGGATAGCCGGGTCCAGGAGCTCCGCCTGCAAGACCTGTCCAGAATCTGTTCGGTGCCAGCCCCTGTGCCCCCTGTTGTCCCGGAAACCGCAGGGGATGGGCCCAATCAGGAACCACCACCTCTGCAGACGCAGCCCTTGGTCAAGGTCCCAGCACTGCCCGGTGGCGAGGGCCAGCTTCTTCGGAGCAACCAGCATCTGGTGGAGCTGATCGAGCGGGTGAAACCCGAAATCGAGCTGCTGAGGGAGAAATGCAACACGGTGCGTATGTGGGTGCAGCTGCTCATCCCAAAGGTGGAGGACGGCAACAACTTCGGAGTGTCTATCCAGGAAGACACCGTGGACCAGCTGTGGACGGTGGAGAGCACAGCAGCCTCCTATCTCCGCCGCTTCTCCACCTACTACAACACCCGGGCCAAGCTGGTATCCAAGATCGTGAAGTACCCGCAGGTGGAAGATTATCGCCGCACCGTAGCCGAGGTGGACGAAAACGAGTACCTGAGTGTGCGCCAGATCCTGCTGCACCTGCGGAACCAGTATGCCACCTTGCATGACGTAATCCTCAAAAACATCGAGAAGATCAAGACCCCTCGGAGCATCAACACCGACAACCTGTACTGAGGACTTTCCTCCACCCGCGTTCCTTCAGGAGTTGGCTGAGCTATTTCAGGCAGCTAGGAGGCTGGTTATAATGTCTCTACAGGTGATGAAATGGCTGGAAATGTGCATGACCATTTAGCTAGAATTTCATACAGTTTATCCTCATGCTGAATTCTTTCGGTGTGGTTTTTATTTGGTTTTCCTTTTGGTGGGGGGAGAATGAGGACAAACCATCTGGTAGAATGTGGTAAGGCTCGCCAAGGAGAAAGCAGCTTTGCCATTTTAAAAAGCAGCTTTGACGGTGACTGTTGGCCAGAGTTTATTATGGCATAGATGACATTGAATGGTTTTAGAGGTTACTTAAAAAGTAAAGTTTAAAAGAAAGTTAAATGAAGCTTTTCCTAAGGTTCTGCTGTATGTTACTTTGTTCAAACCTCAAAAACGCACCTTTTACACCATCCTCTGTTTTTTTCTAGGAAAGGAGTTCAGTGGGATTTATTTAGGTCATTGTATACCTCTAATTTAGCAGATTAAAATAAAACTTGGTTATAACACTTTATAATGGCTTAAGCGTGCTTATCTGAAATTTAATTTTCGGGTGTATAAGGTTTCTCTCCTCTGTTGGATTTATATTTTTCGACTCTGAAATGCAAGAAAAATAAGCATATAAAGAGTAATGGGTTTTAATTCTACAAAAATGGATGTTAACTCCCTTCACAATGAAGAACAATCTATGATCATGGTTTCTTTGCACAATCTCCTACCATTTCTGTCTTCCACTTTTTCTTTTTTACAGTTTAGAATTTGCTCTGCAGATCCATTGATCTCATAAATGCATCTATTAAATCCATTCCAGTTTTACATTTTACATTTCTCTCCCTTCAGTTGATTCTCGTCTTTCCTCTTTTGTCTCAAGATATTTTTCTAATAGGTCTTCATTGGAGTTTTTCTCTCATTATTTGGGTCATTCTCTAGATCTTAAGACTCTAAAATGTGAATACAGGTTCTTTTTCCCTTGTCTGCTTTTTCTGACTCTCCGAGAGGCAACTGTTGTCTTCACCCCACCCTTCTTGGTGATAGCTGTGCTGCAGTCCCTTCTCCTCCATTTTCCTCCCAGGATTTCAGGCACAGACACAAATGTGCCCGGCATGAATCTCAAGCTACCAGGTCCAAGACTCAAACTGGGATTAGCCGTGGGGGAGTCCAGCGACATAACTGCTATGCCATCTGCTGGCCCTACACTATTGGTATTTTTAAAGTTCAGCATTTCCAGACTTCATTCACAGATAAGGTAAATTATTGCACCATGAATCATATTATGCATCCAAAAGAATTTCTTAGTTGTGATGGTTTTTCCATGGTGGTTTCTGTTTCTAATGTTACCATTTCTGATAATAAAGATACTTTAGCCAGCTAAGTGTCTTTATACAAAATACTTTATATTAGTATTACCTGAGGATATTAATTTCTCATCACCACCTCTGGAAGTTATGTAGTACAAATTTAGAAAAAGGTTAATAGGAGTGGATGCCTTTTCATACATAGTGAGATTATTCCTGGGCATAGTGACCGTTTCATCTCTCTCTCTCTCTCTCTGTCATTTTCCATTCAACTGTGCACTGGGAAGTCCCATTTTTTAAGACTCGTATACATATATAATGCATGATCTTAATCTTTTAATATATTTTATAGTAATATTGCATGTAATACAATTATTTCTTGGAACCAACAGATGGCATAGTGGTTAAGTTGCTAGACTCCCACATGGTCCACAATGGTTCAAGTCTTAGACATGGTGGCTTGAAAGTAATGCTGGGCAAATGTACATGCATGCCCAAAATTCCAAGAGGAGAAGGGGTTTCAGCATAGCCATTTCCACTGGGGGGATGATTTCTCTTTTTTCTTCTCTCTGAATCTCTCTGTCTCCCTCCTGGTGAGTACATGTGCCCTATGGCAGAAACCTAAAAATAAATGTAAAATAATAAAATTTCTCGAACATTGTGGGAATATTATAAGGGGTTAAATTAATTTTTGTGACAGAAGAGAATCCATTTCCCATTGAAATTTCCTTTGAAAATAATAAAAAAAATAAGACCCTCTGAAACTAAGTGACTATATGAGTCAGAAAGTCTAGTACTGATTTTTTAAAAGAGATTTTTTGCTATAGGGTGTGTGTGCTCACCATAGAGACAGAGAGGGAGGGAGAGAGAGAAAATGAGAAAACACCTCCTAGGGAGGATGGCCATGCCACAATCCCTTCTCCATTCCCTCAGAATTTTGGGCACACAGACACACGCACTGGGTATGAGTTTCCAGTGCTGGGTCCAGGACTTGAACCATTGTCCACCACATGGGAATTCACCTGAACCACTATGCCATCTCTGGCCCCTATTATTTTTAAATTTGCTACAGGGCACATGCATTTTCTGGAGAGATGGAGAGTGAGAGTGAGAGACAGAGTGAGAAAGCAAGCTGTCAGGTTCGGAACTCGAACTGCAGTCAGCCAGGTTGGAGTCCAGCACATTAACCACCACACTACCTGGTATCGATTTTTTGGCTCCCAGTCTGGTACCTGTTTTTATGTTTCATAACTGCATCAGTTTTTCCCTTACAGTATTTTTATAAGGATAGAACAAGATAATTCCTTGCAATGAAATTATTTCCAGATCTTCCTAAAGATAGGGTCATAACATGATTATTGTGTCTATTTTCTTTTCATTGATTCTTATAATCTCCCCACTCCCAATTTCCCCATTTAATAAGTGCAGTCACTTTCGAAGACTTTTTGTTCAGGAGCTTCTTCAGCAATGTGCTTCGATTGCCAAGGATGAAACCAGTATGAACCTTTATTGTACAGACTTGACTGAAAGCTACTGTAAAAATATTTCCTATGTAGCAGCAAGAATTGTTTAACATGTAAAGCAGAGATTTTTTTCTTTTTTTTTTTTTTTTAAAGAAATGTTTCGGAGTTTGAGCTCCAATTACTGGCAGGTTCCCCCCCTCTCCCCCCTAAGATGTGATACCTGGTAAGTTTTTCTGAGGTGGTGTCGATGTCTGTCCAGGAAGCATCTGATCTGTGGCATTTCTTCTGCATTTTCATTTTCCTGATCTATTTCACCTAAAGGAGTGAAAGGCATATATTGGGTTCTCAGAAAAGTCGTGATGCATTTTTGCATAGAAAAAAACAATGTTATAACTTTTCTGACAAACCAGTGTTTCTTTATGAGTAAGGTAAATTAATTTGAGACTTAAAATTATAGGAGGGACCAGCAGTTAGCGCAATAGCTATGTTGCTGAACTCCTATGTAGTTGACTGTGGTTCGAGTCCCAGACCCGGCGGCTTAAACTCATGCCTGGCGCATGTGCGTGTTTGTCCAAGATCCTGAGAGGAGAGTGGAGAAGAAGGGATTGCATTGTGGCTATCCCCCTTGGGGGCTGATTTCTCGCTTTCTGTCTCTCTGTCTCTCTCTGTCTTTCTGGCGAGCATATGCACCCTATAGCAAAAAACCTCTCCAAAAAAACCACAATTATATTTGAGTCAACATTTAAAAATTTTATCTATAGTCAGATATAGAAAATGTATCTTTCACTTGGGCCTGGCTTTACAAAAATGGGTATGAATATTTGTCCATTTTAACCTATGTGGGTCAGAAAAAAATGTAAACTTAGGTTTAGTAGAAACTGTAATTTGAAAGTAAATTTCTGAAAAATGTTAAAAAAGTAAAACAAGTTAACTCTTTTTTGATTTTCTGAAAAGCCTGAGTTTCAAATTTACCTTTAAAAAGGAACAGCAACAGAAGGGACCAGCATTTAGCCGGTCCAGCAGTTAGCAGTTAGCATAATGGCTATGTCGCTGGACTCCCATGTAGTCGACCACGGTTCGCGTCGTGGACCCGGTAGCTTAAAACTCACGCTGGGCGCGTGTGCGTGCGTGCCCAAGACCCCGAGAGGAGAATGGAGAAGGGATTGCAGCGTGGCCATCCCCCCGGGGGGTGATTTCTCTTTTTCTATCTCTTTGTCTCTCTCTGGCTGGCTGGCGAGTGCAAGCGCCCTATAGCAAAAACCTCTCCAAAAAAAACCAAAACAAACCAAAAAAAAAACCAAAAAAAAAAACAAAAAGAAACCCAACAGCAGCAAAGATACTATTTGATAGAAAGAGAGTTGTTTGTGTTTCACATTCTCCTACTCCTAAGAGTTCTCGTATTTTCCCTGTAAGGTATTATATCTTATTTCAGAAAAGGACCAGGAACCCTGCATCAGTTCATACCATCTGTCAGGCATTTCACTGCACATAGATGTGTAATAGACAATGTAAGGGAAGTCTGGCTTACTTTGCCAACCACATTAATTATCTTACTTTCAAATACCTGCTCCATAACATAACCATCACCTTTTGCTTGTTCCTTTTACTCTTAAACTGTCAAACCTGTGTCAAGGTGAAATAAATTGTATCTAATTCCAGGCCAGCTTTTTACTAAGAAAATATGCATGTCCTTTGTAGTTAAAGAGTTCTGGTGTTTGCATTTTTCTCTTTTCTAATGCCGTATCAAACTAAATTGGTGCTGTAATGCTTTTATAAAGTCTCTACTTTTTCAAAAATTAATCCCTCTGTGACTTCCCTTTCTTGCAAATGGTTGGAAGCTATTACAATAATAAGTCTACTTTAGGAATTGGTGTTAAAACATGGTATCCAATACAAATTATTTGCCTATTATTAGTACTAGAGTCTTAAAGCCCCCCCCTTTTTTAAATTCCTTTAAAAAAGACAGCCAAATCTAGAGAGAGGAGAGAGAGTTTTGTTTTTAAGTGATGGATTTAAAGACTCATTTTAGAAAAAAAAACTCATTTTGAAACTAAATGTTAGTTTTAAATTCTTATTCATAAGGGACACTAAAATTTAATTGTAAATTCTGAAATTAGTAGACTGGATTTTAGACTTGAATGAGATACTTTTCTTAAACCACATAAATGATGTAGAAGACTTCATTTTAGACTTCTTCATTAACTCTTGAGGTTAGTGTTTTTGTAAATTACTAAATTGTTCATAAATTCATATTTGGTTGTTAGAGTCAACTTTTTTCGTAGTCTTTATGGGGTTTACGTATTTTTATAAAATTCTAAAATGGTCTCTGTCATTAATAGATAATTATGTCAGCAGTTTAAAACACTTTTTAATTTCAAAATAACTATCTCAGTGCTCAGAAATCTGAAAAATATTAGTAAAAAAAAGAAAAGGCACCCATAGTCCACTAGAGGATGCATATGTGTGTTTATATCGTTGCAACATAGCATATGCATTGCAGAGGATAAGCATTTATATTTAAGTTCTTTCTAATATAATTTCTTTTGATTGGTAATTCCAGATTAAGATGCAATAGATAAACGCTCATTCATTCTGTTTTCCAAGGATTCTTTTTTTTTCTCCTTATTTTTAAAAATTAATTAGTTCACATTTATCACCTAATCATCATCACAGCATACAAAAAATGGTTTCCCATCCAGAATATACTGCATAGTGGCTTAATCTTGTATGTTATTGTCAATAATTTTCCATTTCTA